GAATTTTTAATGTAAGCCAACTCTCTACTGATTCAACATGTATACCGTGTATTTATTATGTAACATACTGATTTAACAGGAATCAAAATGAAATTCAAGCGATCAATAATACTGAAACATTAAACAAAGTCACAGTAGATATACCCATGGTACAACTTTGGCATGTTCCCTATATAATCGGTAACGCCCATGCAACAGAAAATCAAAAAATGGTCATGTATTCAGGTAATAAAACCAACAACGCTGCCATTCGTTGTCTACGATCTCCTCTGTGTATAATTAACGTTTAAAGTTAAATCAGTGCCGTATCTTTACAAGAAACATAAGGCCGGCTATTTCGAACTCTGGTTCCAATGGCAAAAGCGAATGGTCACCCATTATATCTGGACGTGATGCCAATATATTGCAGGTTAACCCCAGCTAACAGCTAAATACCCATCATACAGCTGGGTGGATTGGGTCAATTAGGGTAAAGAGTTTTGTCCAAGGACACCAAAGCACGACGCGGAACAGCTTCGAACTCACAACCATCCGAGACCACGTAGTTAAACTGACCCCCCCCCTCTTCCTCATCGGCATATTAGTTGCCTTGAAATACTGTTTAACAGATCAAAATCAGATTACAGGTTCTGGATATCCACCCTTAACATATGGTATTTTTTACACCCTACCATCGCCCTTATATATTTATAATTGAAATTGAGATTAAAGGATAATTTAATTATCCTTTAATCTCAATTTCATCAAATTTAGATAATTTAAAGGATAATCCTAGCTGAATAGCTCGGTTACGTTAAGTAAATGTTTCTTATTTAAGATATTTATAATTTACCGTACGAATGTATTAAAAAATTTAGACCCTGTGTAGTTTAGATTCCGTTTATCCTAACGTTCCCATAATCTAAAAGTGAGACTTGAAATCTAAGTTAAAAATTACATACACTTTCCATAGAAAAATAGTGTAATAGAAATCATATAAAAATCTATATTTATCTTTTATTGAAATCCAAATATAAAAGCTCTCCAGTGACACAGCGGTATGTCTGCGGACTTACAATGCTAGAATTCAGGTTTCGATACCAGTAGTGAGAAGCGCACAGATAGCTCATTGTGTAGCTTTGTGCTTAACTTCAAACAAACAAACCAACTATAAAATAGATCTTCAAAACATCGTGAATCTAATCATCGCAATAAACAACGATATCAAAAATGGAATACTAATATTTGAAACCAAAGCTTTTAGCTTAGTTTCAGACTAAGGAATGACATTCTCGAGTAAGAGCTAATAACTATAGATACTTTTTATATATTTAAGCAGTATTTCATAATAAGATTGCAATGTATACACATGTAATTAAATATTCCATTGTATCAATATGTCCGTTTTTTTTTTCTTTTTTATAGAATTTATGTGTTATAAGACAGACCTACAGACTAGCAAACTTGACTTGCCACGACTACAATCCAGCACTAAACCGATTAGGATACTAATACATACATACATATATACAAATAAGTTGTGGGCGCATATTGCTTTTAATTCTATAACATTAAGGTGATTTTATTATCACTGTTTTGTGTTGCTAATTCATCACACTTTGCTGTTATTTAGCTAAGCGTTACGAAAGTATTATCGAGAAACAAGCAGGGATATCTTATTATCAAGGAGCGAAATCCATTTATATTTATTGATAAGATTCAAGTTCAAAGAACATTTGTGTTCATCAACAAGTTTCTTCTTTTCCAAAAATCGAAACAAATTAGATTAGCATTGATTCTCAAATGTGTTTTCTCTCCTTTTCTCCTATTCGCGTAACAGAATCACCGGTTTTGTTCTAAAAAAAATGTATATACAAGTCAGAATATTTATCAATTATATCCTCTTTAAAACCTATCTTAACCCTAAATAAAACACCTAGCTAAGGTTCACATGTAATTTTATTTAAATTCTTTCTTTTGGTATTAACTTCTCAGCATGCAATTCTCGATATATAACACGGTGTAGGTGAATTTAAAAACATACAGATTAAAAACACTGTAACTAGTTGTAGTTCTTAATTCCACCTTAGCTGTTGAATCTTACTGATTCAAGAGGAGGAATAACACATAGTGAATCAAGCTCTATGGATTATTCATCTAGGAGAAAGCATGGCAAAATGAATGACGACAACTTCCAAATTCTTTTCTGGATTGTCCATCAAACGTTCTTATCAAAATTCAACTGGTATTTTAGCTAAACAAACTTCTAAGAAATGTTAAATTTTACTCTTTGAATCCAAAAGTCTAAAGTTAACTTTTAGGTATTATTTTCCATAATTTGAGTTTAACCACAAGGAACAAAATCCATCTAGGAGAAAGCATGGCATAATGAATGACGACAACTTCCAAATTCTTTTTTGGATTATCTATCAAACGTCCTCGTCAAAATTCAACTGGTATTTTAGCTAAACACATTTCTAAGTAATTTTTAATTTTAATCTTTAAACCCAAAAGTCTAAAGTTAACTTTTAAGTATTATTTTCCATATTTTGAGCTTTAACCACATGGAACAAAATCCATTATAACGACATAAATTACTTCAGAGATTTAGTAAATCCTCTAATGGTATCGAAGTCCTCACAGAGTCCCCACGAGAATTCATCACTATTGGTTATAATACAGATTCCATCTTCCTATGTATTGACTGGTCTAAATCTTATCAGATGTAAGATAAAAACCAATCAACGTTGTAGGAAGCTATATACTGTACTGTAGTGCTTTACTGGGTAGAAACGGCTAAGATTAGAAATTTTAAATCGTCTTACTATGTATTATGGATCTAATGTATAGGAAATACATTTGTATAAAAGTTGTTTTTACTTACGTATCCATCATTTTTCACATTGAAGTAGTTTCTGCTTCCAAAAACTTTTGTATTTCAAGTAAATATATTTTTTATCATCTCAATAACATTATAAGACATATTTTATATTTGTTTTAACTATTAATGTGAATATTCTCAATGCGAAGGTTTACAATAATAATATGTTTTAAAATATTTATGAAATAATTCGGAAACGCGTGGGTTGGAACTCTTAACTGTTGTACTGATTAGATCACTTAATCTACTTTGTTAGTAGAAATAAAGTGTAAGCCTCGTAGCTGTAAGAAGTGTACATAAAACTTTCTTGATACAACTGTTTCAAAATCCATTTTTATTTACGATATTGTACTGTTTTAAGGAAATATACATACTCTCACATACAACTTGGTACATAAAGAACATGAGAACAATGCTATAACCAGCGGAGGAATTGTATTATATGCTAGAAAATTTCTAGTCTTGCTAAATGAATATCTTTCCCTACTATTTTACTTCCTTAAACTATTCTTTTTCCTGGCTTCACCCCTATATTTGACAATCATATCTTTGTGTGTGTAACTATATTTATATAGGCATTGCTTAGTTTTCTATTCGCGTGACGTCATCGCAAAGCTAGATAAATATTTCTTACAGTTCTTTGGTATATTTCCAAAGAACACTATTTTTATTCAGTCATTTGAGTTCTAATTTTCTAAGTTTACTTTAAAGTTAGCATGTACAAAATAAAAATTTTTGTCTTCATAATAAACGATGTGTTTATCACAACAACGAAACTCCAGAAAAATAAAGAATAAAAGCGAAGTGAAAAAATCTCACTGTATTTATGTATACAGTTCTAATCCCTTTAACGTTACTGTTACGTTACGTTTAACTTACAAGTCACTTTATGGACTACCATACAGGAAATGTTTCCAGTAAAGGAAACAAAAATGTTTTCTTATTCTAGATAAGGATATGCTGCCAACATCTTTCATTTTTTTTTTTTGTTTTATCTAAGATAAGAAACAGATTTATTACGAATATCACAAAAGAATTAGTATAAAGCTAATAATCGAATTTGATGTCATAAAGAACGTCATTAAGTTTGTTTGTTTTTGAATTTCGCGCAAAGCTACACGAGGGCTATCTGTAGTGTAAGACTAGAGGGAAGGCATCTAGTCATCACCACCCACCGCCAACTCTTGGGCTACTCTTTGACCAACGAATAGTGCGATTGACCGTCATTTTATAATGCCCCCACGGCTGAAAGGGCGAGCATGTTTGGTGTGACGGGAATTCGAACCCGCGATCCTCAGATTGCGAGTCGAGCGCCCTCACTACCTGGCCATGCCTGGCCCACGTCATTAAGTTTTGTCTTATTCCAATTCTATAACAAAACCGAGTGATAAAATAAAGATTTAGAATAATGTCTCTTATAAGCTAATTGGAAGTTACTATTAATAACTGGTACGATATTCACATAATATTATTTATTCTCTCGTATATATAAGGGCAAGTTAGCCAGAATAAATCCATAAATGAACACTCTTGTGTCATGCACGTAGTTAAGCGTACATTTAAGGATAGCAGACTATCTAATTTCCTTATTGAAATCGGTATTAATAAAGTTTATGAACTTAGCTACTTGAATTAAGGTTAGACGTTAATCAATTTCTAAAGAACCAATTTTGTTTTTAGATATTATGAGTATTTAAATAGCTCGTACTTGGAGTGTTTTACAAAGAGTACTCTTTTTACATTCTAGTTGTTTGTACCTATCGTAAATATTTATCTTTATCAGTGTTATATTGGTTTGAGTACCTACACTGATAAAACAACACAGCAAACATCAAAGAAACCAATGAAAAGAAAATATGAGTTGACAGTAGAATTTCGTGTACAAACTTCTGTCTGGAAGTAAAATAATGGAAAGATAGAAATAATACATTTCTAATTTGAAAAATATTTTTTTTCTTCCTAACACAGTTTCCGCTGCTGTTTATGTAACTACAAAATTACATACACCACACACACACATATATATATATATATGTGCTCATGCACATTATATCATGACATAAAACCTATTTTCTGTAATTGCTTTAATAAGCGTTTCGTAAATTTTAAAACATTTAGAATTCATTTTTTATCTCTCTATATACATATCTATAACGGAGACAATAGTTTGACCAATAAACGTCACACTGACCACAACATTATGTAAGTTTTCCAGTTTACCCACATTTAATTACCATCTTACACATAAAGAGTAGAGTTACTTAAAACTCTTAGGGAGATATTTTTGTTCATGAATATTACCGATGACGACATTATTTCTCCCCGAAATTAGACTAAGTTTTGAAACACAAATCACATGGCCTGTGTACGAAAACCATTTTATTCGCATCGGCTTAAGGCTTTCCAATGTATACTTTATTATTATTTATAATCATTCAAGCAGTTTGAATGACGTTAATTTCTAATTACAAGCTCGTACAATAAAAATTCTATTGACTATTGGCTCGGACCCAATCTATCAGAAATTCCACGCATACACTTGAATTGATACAAGCTTCTCAATTTCATTAGTTGAACGATCGTGGCTTTGTCCGTCATCTGTCTGTCCTAGTGGTCATAATCACTGCCAGTGTGGATAAGCATTGCATTACAAAGGTAAAACACCAGAATGTTATTATACAAGGTTTATTCCCAAGAGCGGCGACGTTTTTCCCTAGAAAAAGCGAATAAAAATTTTACTTAATATGGTTAGATCTCAGCATCAAAAATAGTTTTACAGAAACATGTGAATCAACATGCCCACCGTAAAACTTTTCTTGCCTTTCGCATTGAGAACTAACACATTAAAACAGTATGTAAAACCCAAAAGTAGATTTCAATGTGTAGAGCAACAGCAAATTATGGGTAATCAGGACAATAAGATCTATTACTAAAATATAACTGTACGAATAAATGAGAAGAAGAACTTAGAGGTCTTTAAAAAAGTGAAACAAATTACAATTTGATTAATAAAGTCAATTCTAAAACAGCAGGTATTACATACACGTTAATTTTTCTAACAAGGTACAACCCAGAAATTTTCAATGTTTCTATCAAGATGGAAGTCAGTATTTACGTAGTTTGACTAAGGGATATTTTTATCTTTAAAAAATTGAACACACGTTAAGCACTATGTAGCATAGTCCAGCAAAGACAAAACCGAAAAAAAAAACGCTTCAGGTACGTATGTAGAGATTGTTTTATATTTACTGCATTTAGTCCCATATAATCTTCAAAACATGAGTTACAAATGAGGACATCAATTTCGTAATAAGAATATGTATTTTTATCATATTTTTTATTTATCAATGTTAAATATGTTACCTGTAACTTTGCATAAAATAGTTTGATAAAACAGTATATTCTGCGTAACTATTGTTACGTTAAAAGTAAATAAATGTATAAATTTTATTATTGAACTATATTTTTAGTTTCCTAACGACATAACAAGAAGGTCATAACAAGTTGGTATTCGATATACGTCAATGTATCTTCATGCTTGTTCGCACCCTAAAAATAGGTTTTAACCTTTCTAGATGGACTGACATACTTTTTTTTAATCCTTCCTAATCTTCTTCCACTACAAAACCTTACCTTCTTGTTTCGTTTCGTTAGCTACCATTACAACTTGTATGCAGTATTCTAAAGTCTACATAAAGTGACTAAAAATGAAGCCATAATACTAGAAATAAAAGGTTGACATGAAGACTAACAGCGAATTTTTGAAAGGACAGGAACATCCTTATTAAAACATAATTGAATATTGGAAGATTGAATTACCTATTATTAAGTATAATACTTAACCGGGTAATATGATGAGAACTTGTCTGAAAATGATATATATTTTCAGGTAAGTAAGGTATTTTCTGGAGCTGCCTATCTATCTTTCAAAGTTTAGTATACTGCAAGTAAAATAGTTTTTGATCAATTATATTATATCTTTAACACATGCTAATACATGCTAATGTTCGTGGAATAAATGATCATGATAAAGATCTAGCTAATGTGATGACAGCCTCAAGAGTTGTTTCCTCACAAAAACATTGTTTCCAAAATTTCCCTTCACTTAATTTGTTTGTAGTTTTCAATCCATTTGATAATAACAGTACTTTTTTTGGAATTTGACAATTTTATGTTTTTCGGAATTTTAATCCAGTTAAATGTTTTAGGGTATTACCAAAATGCTTCACAGAGTTTTGTTCAAACGTAATTTTATCCTGCATATTTTAACGTTTTTATATTATTCACTATTATAGTTATTTACAGAGTTCTTAAAACACATGGTAACTGATTCCAGTCTACTAAAATAGTCCTTATAAGAGACTGTGTCCTAAGCTGGCTATCTTCAGAGTCTATGAATAATAGCAGTCGCAATGGAATAAGTCTGGCACAATATCTGTGGTCACCAACCGCTGCTAAAAGATCGAGAGAAAATAAGAATGCCAATATTTGTAAAGCGTTAAAGGAAGCAAACAATGTTTACAATTGACCTATTCCTTGAACAGTGAACAAGATTCGCTACTTATAACAATACAACGTGAAGGAGATCGAAAACATTGCATATAATGGCCGACAACCAATCCGAAAACTGGTTAATTCAAACGCCAAGAGGAATGTGCAGTTTCAGTAATGTTTGGAAAATTACAAGAAATGAATGAGTGAAAGCATGTGAATATGATTTGATGGGTCTAGTTTTACCTTTTTCTGTAATGATAATAAAATAAAAACATAGAGAAACCCCTCTTTTTGTCGTTCTTACAGTGCAAGTTGTTGTAAGTGGTATGATCTTGTGGATCCAGATTTGGATCCTTTCATTGCTTTAGAAGTTCAGCTATTTCAGTTACCTTTCTCAGGCAGTACATTCTCCAGTTTTCTATTTCATTAAAAGTCTGTAAACTTCTTGCTACTCATATTTCTCAACAAATGGTCTGCAATCAAACAAGATACTTTCCAGTATCTTATTTGTAGAGTCTATGCTAATCCAAGACAGACTGTTACCGCAGCGAAAGGAGATCCAACCCCAATATTATGTGGAGGACTCAATAAAATGTTCAGTTAATGTACATTATCACTACTAACTGCCACAATCATTTGAAACATCTGTTAGAATCCAACTACTGCCTATCAGGCTATGATTTTATGTTAATAATTGCTGTATAAGCATAAAAATCGGCGAGGAGGGTGTTTTTCATAACCATTTAATTTTTTACCTGACTTGATAAGCATAGTTCCTCTGAGGGTTTACCTTTTCATAAGTAATTAATTTTTAAAAACAAACTTACTTTTTAGAAAGGTAGGTATTGTATGTGGCTCTAACATGCCATTTCGACCTCTTCAGCAATATATTTTGAAAAAATGTAAAAATTTGGAAAATAAAGTATAATTGTTTACTAACTATTACACAATCATTTCCTAACTAGCATTGGTAGGATGTTATGGTGACTGACCACTGACTCCCTGAGTTAGTCAATACTTAATGGCTAAGTATAGTTTATTAACAAAATATTTATTGATTACTTTGTTGATTTTGCAGCTGGCAAAATAATTTTTATTTAGCATCCAGCAATTTGCTTTTAGTATCGTCTCACCTGAAGTAGATCCTGGATTATCCCCAGGGGTCTTAAAAACATCACCAGTTTCTCTGCTTAAGGACTCGTTAGGAAAACCTAGGTTTTCTCCTATTGAAAAATATTTTTCATTAGAACAATATACCAAGAAGCCTAAAAACTGCCCAACAAAACATACATTGAATTTTGTGTTAGATTAGATATTTTTGAGAAAATGAGAAGACACATATTCTAACTGTTTCTGAAGAAATTGGCATATAATCTACAGTTAAAATCTTAAAAACCACAATATAGAATGAAATATATAGACAAAATAGGTAATGTACTCAGGATCTAAAGACATCATAAACGTGTGTTAATTTTGAAAATTGTTTCGATCCATCACGAAAAGTAATAAAAAAATCCCATATATTCTTGCGTAAATAATTTTAATTACAATGGCATTGGTGGAACATGAAATATAAACAGTTTATTAATATTTCACATCATAATCAAGCCTGGAAGAGAAAAAGTAGTAGCTTAGAACACAGAATTATTTATAAACTTCAAGTTGTTTTCTGATAAAGAAAGGAATTTCTTGGTCTTATTTTCATAAATTACTAATATTTTCTATTATTTTATAAATTTTGAGATAATGTAGATTATGTGTTTTCTAATATTTTATTGGGATTATTTTCACAGAATATCGTATTTTTTAAAGCTTTATGTGTTTTCTTTACATCACAGAAAGGACGTTTGATGATGTATTGAATTTATCATTACAGACTAGAGTGGTTTCTAGTTCTTCATCACCTTTGTTTATAACAGAGAATTGATGGTTCATATTTTATTTTATTTCTTACAAATATGTTGTTTTAAATGTTTAATCCGACTTCCTTATAACTGATTAATTCATTTCTAATGTTCTATTAAATTTTTCATTACATACTATGATGTTTTTTTAAAGTTTTATTTGGTTTCTTTTCTCAGTCTATCATGTTTTCTAGTTTTCTTTTCAGTTTATCATTACGGACTATAATGTTTTTTAGTTTTCTGTTCAATTTAACATTACGAACTACAATGTTTTCAAAAGTTTTTAGCATTTATTTTCACAGATTGTAATGTTTTCTAGTTTTCTGTTCAATTTATCATCACGGACTACAATGTTTTCGAAAGTTTTAATGGTTTTGTCTTCTGTGAAAAATTGATGGTTCATATTTTATCATATTTCTTGTCATAAACTATCCTAATATTTTCTAACGTTTTATAGTATTAGTTATCACAGACTACAGTGTCTTCTAATGTTTTTTTGTAATGAATAACTAATTTTTTCTAACGTTTGTTTGTCATATTACGGTGGAGAATTGGATATTTGATGTTATTATTTTTGTTGTAACGAAATCTAAATTTTTCTATTGTTTTATTTGTTTTTGTTGTTGTTTTTTATAATAAAAACAAGTTCTCTAACGTTTTAATGGCTTTGTTAGAAAAGCCCCAAAAGTTTGTTTTTGTCAATTTTCTTATAATTCAGTACGAGTGTTTAATTTTCATTTATCTAAAAAATTTAGAAGTTCAAAAGTAAAAACAAACATTAACGTAAAATTAAGTATGTATTTATATATAGAGAGACTTTTGATAAGAGCCACCAATATTTTAAAAGTATATCTTCTTAAGATGTAATTATTATGTGGCAGTAGGAAACCACTGAAGCTTATGAGTATGGCTAGAAATATTGAGTTAAAATTTCCTGTTAAAGTTCATTCGATATGAATTCAAATATTTTCTAGTAATTTGTATGGAGGATAACATATATTGATATATAAGAACTACAATTTCAATTGTGATCTATCACATAGGTGAAAACACTAAAACATGCAAAGAATAGACATTCTGAGCCTGATAATATAAAATAAATAACATCAAGAATAGAATATTAGTTTCACAGCCTGAATACAGAGGGTTGTTCATGATCCATAGTAACGATACAAGGTACGTTGCCTAGGCCTTATAGCATGATCTTATACTACCAATGGTGTTCTTTGTGACCCAGATTGTAAACTATTTCTCTGTAGCGCATTTTCAAAATATATTGAGGTCGATATTGTCTCTCCATCTTCCTCTTTACCTGCTTTCTAAAGTTCATTAATTATACACTGACGGTGACTTTCCGTTTGAGCAATTCGAAGACTCAGAAGGTCATGAAAGATGTCTACATATGGTATTACGTAAACTTCCGTTTGTATCTGCACCTTTTATGTGAACTAGCATATCGAATTGGATATGTAGCTAGATGCTTTGTCTAGATAGAATTATATATTATTAGCATCCGACTCATATACACGTGGTACTTAATCTTAGTACATTGGTTTCTGCACATTAGAGTTCACTTTGACATTTTCTCAACTATCCTGATGTTTCTCTTACTATTATAGATGTAACCACCAATAATTACCTTGGTAAAACCTTGCTAACATGTTCTGAATATGCGGTATCACTAGCATGACGACAATGAATCTTTTGAGCTTTGTTTCTGGTACTTGGAAATATATGCTTTGTTCAATGTGATGATGTTCTTCTTGCTTATCAAATTCCAAATATCACTCAAACAGCTTTCAGTACTTGGTCATCTGTTATTGTGTTGCTTTTGTAGACCCAAGTAAATTATTTTGTTCAAAAACCTACTTTATTTTCAATGGGCCGTTGCATTTTTCGATTAATTCCGGTGAGAAGATAATTCAACTTTCTTCATTTCCTCTGGTGAGCTGCTGATAGCCGGTAGTGAAGTAACCTGTTTTACTTTGTTGGAATCACTCTGTCTCCCACATTACTAATACTGTTCAACGCTACAAACACTCCTTTCTTGGAAACGCTAGAAGTTCGAGCTTTATATGCTATTCTAATCGTGAGGAAGCAGAAGTTCCTGCCCGAGAGTCTTGCAATGTAATTCTTCCCTAATGGATCATTTTTAGGCGCCATCTAAACTTCAAATTAATTAAAATAAGAGAGCCAGGGCTTTTAACGGTGTAGCCACGGGCCCCAAGATTGAGAAGGAGAAAGGTGAATGTATATGTAAATTGTTTCCATAGCTTATGAACAGCCCTCTGCAATAATCTATTTTATTACCTTGTATTCTTCTCGCCGATTCTTTTGTATCTGCTTGCTTTAAAGGCAAGTTGTCATCTCGTCCTATTAAAAAATCAGGGATACGGTTAATAAGTAAAATAAGTTTTCGAATAGTGAAGCTGTTCCATACTGCTTAAACGATTTGAAAATCTGAAAAACAATGTATATATTAATCTGTTATTATCATTCATTGTTCCAAGTCATTTTATCAGGAACCGGAAATATAGTTATCACACTGTTTTGTTTGATTTTCAGAAAGATTATACCCAAAACTCAAAGAGCAGATGTGAAGAGAAGGGGAAAAGGTGAGAGTGTATACCTATTGCTTCTGCTATTGAGAACCTGTACTTTTGTAGACACTGTTTGTAATATGTTTCCTTAATTATTAGATACAATAGTTATTTATTTATTAACTTCCAAATGGTATTTACAGAGTAAATACACGTTGTTTTTGTCGAAAACTAAAGCAAAATATACGTGAGAAGAAGTCTTGGTCTATTTAAAATGACCCTCAAATGTACCTAAAAAACAACTGTATTACATGAAATTGATTGACTAAGAGTACAGAAATATAGACATTTATTATTTATATTATTTTCATATTCAATAAGAAATAACTATCATCTTAATAAATATAAAGCTTCAAACAATATATCAGTATGACATAGAAAATCATGGAATCAGTGACACAAGTTATCCGTATACCAGTATGATATACAAAGGCATGGAATCAGTAACACAAGTTATGCGTATATCAATATGATATCGGAAGCCGTGGAATCAGTAACACAAGTTATAAGTATACCATTATTAATTAGGAATTCGTGGAATCAGTAACACAAGTTGTCCTTATACCAGTATGATCTAAGAAGCCGTGGAATTAGTAATACAAGTTATCCGGTACTAGTTTCATCTAAGAAGTCGTGGAATCAGTAGCACAGTTTGTCCATTTTGTAAATCCTAAAGTTGGATCCTTGTTTTGATATTTCAAAGTGGCAACGAACCAAGTGGGACTTTAAATATTGAATTTCACGCAAAGCTACTCGAGGGCTATCTGCACTAGAATGTAGGGGGTAATAGACTACAATGGAGGCAGCAAGTCAAAACCATCCATCGCCTACTCTTGGGCTACTTCCTACCGATAAAGAGTATGACTGACCGTCACATTATAACTTCCTCCTATACACAGGTGAAAGGGTGAGCATGCTCGGTGACGTGAATCGAGCACGACCCACAAGTTGAGAGTTGAGCGCCCAACCATCAAGCTATGCCAGGACGTTGAAGAGTCAGGAAATATTATACAACGCAATGAACAAAACTTGTAATAAAATCTCAAGAAGAACGTTATATTAAACTGTACATTAACAAATAAAGAATTGATTATCTTTTCCTGTTTTATAAATTATGTACTGAAAAAATATTACTACACAGAGTATTTGTTTCTTTTCAGATTAAAACTATCCGCTCAAGTAAAATGGTAGCGGAAAATATGAAAACATCAGACTTAGACTATCCGTACAAGTAAAATGGTAGCGGAAAATATCAAAACATCAGACTTAGACTATCCGCACAAGTAAAATGGTAGCGGAAAATATCAAAACATCATATTTAGAGTATCCGCACAAGTAAAATGGTAGCGGGAAATATTAAAACATCAGACTTAGACTCTCCGTACAAGTAAAAGGGTAGCGGAAAATACCAAAACATCACATTTAGACAATCCGTACAATAAAATGGTAGCGGAAAATATCAAAACATCAAATTTTGACTATCCGTTCAAATAAAATGGTAGCGGAAAATATCAAAACATCAGATTTAAACTATCCGTACAAGTAAAAATGGTAGCGGAAAATATCAAAACATCAGACTTAGACTATCCGCACAAGTAAAATGGTAGCGGGAAATATTAAAACAGCATAAATGTCTTATATCAGTTAATACAAGTTAACTTTAAGAATTATTTCAAGATGAGCAAAATTTCTAATTGTTATTCAGTTAGTATAACAACTTTAATTATGGCTTAAATCCAGTTTTATCTGTTCTTGTTACTTGAGTTTTTCATTCATGCAACCAAGCAAAAACATGGCCCTTTACAAGATTTTTAGAGACGTTCAAACGTATAATGTCTTGTTTGTTGTATAATGTCTTTCGAACGAATTTACAAAAAGGGTTATCTACAGATAGGCCTTTGACTTTGAACTGGTAAACTAGAGGAGAGGCAAATGGTCAAAAGCAACCCCTGTCACCTGTTGGGGTACTTTTATTAGACTGAATAGTGGGATTTAACTGTCACTGTTATAGCGTACCCACGCCCACAAAGTGCGGGAGCTCATTTTATTGGATTCGCAGTCCAGGTACACTAACCACGAGTCACACCCAGCTTAGATTTCACGATAAAGTATAGAAAAATAAAACAAATACCCATGCTATCCACGAAATTGGCAATAGATGAAACAAAGAAAATCACAATCTTAAATTCTCAATATGAAACCAAGCTTTAAATGAATTCTAACAGGGTAATAAAATTTTTAATATGAAATAAAATGAAAATATTACAAATGATATTTTTTAAGTAAGTTTGAAACTTTATTTAGAAATTAATTTTTTCTGGTTGTTTTTAATTTATGAAGGATGTTTAAAGTCTAACATAGATTTTAACAAGCGTATTAAGTAATAAGGAGCAAGTTTAAAATGTAATTAGTTTTAGTTTTAAATTTTCAATGATTTTGGAAACAAGGGATGGTTTGAAACAAATATTTCATAAAATCAAAAAGTTATATGTATTTCACTAATAACTCAATAATTATGATAAATCATAACAAAAGTGACATATTTCTATATCTGTCATATGTGATCCAATCTGTTTCTTATGATCAAAGTTGAATCAATAAAAAGTTCAACAAAGACTTCTTTGCTGCTCCTTCAATAGGAAAAAGTGAATGGAAAGTCGATATTCAATACACATATATATCTAATCAATAAGATTTGTACAGTAATAAGCCTCGCTCGAAGTTCTAAAAAATAATATTAGTCATACTTCCTGCAGGGGGTGTTTTATTACTTATCTAAAAGGCTTAGTCTAGTACCCCTGGGCATATATGACTGATGATAAACTCTACAGAAAAGCCAAAATATCGACAAAAATGTAAGAATTTGGATTTCCTTTTTCCCTTTCCTGTTCTTATTAAACAGACTGTTTTTTTAGAAAGCTTGAATAACTACATTAAAAGCTAGTACTAATTTTATAATAATTAGATTTTTTTTTCTACACGCCCTGTCAGAACACTGTTAGCCAATTACTTTCATAATTTCATCTGTATTTACATCTTATTTCTACAAGCTCTGTCAGAACATTATTAGCCAATTACTTTTATAATTTCATCAGTATTTAATCTTATTTCTATAGGCTCTGTCAGGACATTGCTGGCCAATTGCTTTCATAATTTCATCAGTATTTACATCTTACTTCTACAGGCTTTGTCAGGACAGTGTTAGCCAATTACTTTTATAATTTCATCTGTATTAACCATGAAATGGTAAACTGTTCCCAAAATGAATGTAAACTTTTACGAAGTTTATATTTAAAATACGCCCCAGTTGTGATTCAGGTCTAAACAGATATTTTGTAAAATTGCTACTTACCAAACAGAACAAAGATATTTATACATTACTAACTTATAAACCGGGTTTCGATACTTGTGGTGGGTACAGCACCGATAGCCTATTGTGTAGCTCAGAATTCTTTAACATATGTGTCGCTGAAGAGAAGGATTCGTTAATTTTCTGTTTGTTGTTAAGCGCTGAATAACACAACTGGCTATCTCTCTTTCTATTACAGGTATCGAAACCTGATTTTTAGCGTTATAAGCTCTCAGATTTACCCGCTGAACTATCGAAGAGTGATACATCTAAAAACTTTTCCACTAAACAGTGAGTTAAAAAGTGGAATAATTTCCTAACTTTCACTACTTGTTGAAAGCTTCATAAACCAAATGCATGTTTTGGACTTTTAGCTCTTCTTTGTGTACGTAGTATAATGTATTATTAAACTTTTTGTGATTGTGATTGGATTTTTTATAGCATGACAATAAGAAAATTAAGAGCACCGTAAAATAATAAAGTCGTAGGAATACAACGTAGCAAAGTGTAATAATGCAAAGTGTAAATTAAAAACATATAACTCAAACTTCTTGAAAAGAACTTTGATTAAGTTGTGTGTTAAATAAACTATGAAGTAAATTCCTTACCTAAAGTGTTGTCCGATATAACAGTTATCTCCTCTTTACCTGGAGAAAGATGTATTTCTGTACATATAAAGAATATTGATTAAATAAAGTTGTGTGTTAAATAAACTATGAAGTAAATTCCTTACCTAAAGTGTTGTCCGGTATAACAGTTATCTCCTCTTTACCTGGAGAAAGATGTATTTCTGTACATATAAAGAATATTGATTAAATAAAGTTGTGTGTTAAATAAACTATGAAGTAAATTCCTTACCTAAAGTGTTGTCCGGTATAACAGTTATCTCCTCTTTACCTGGAGAAAGATGTATTTCTGTACATATAAAGAATATTGATTAATAAATTTTTCATATAAAAAATGTTTAATATTTTACATTAAATATAAAATATTCCAAAATTATGAACTGTGTTTTATTTATCCGTACTTTCTTATTAACGATCAGACATAATAAACAAGGTTCTCTTGAGCCATACAAGTAGTTATCAGACCTGTTCAGATGCGCGTGCTGATTAGTTGTCTCAGGGAGGGGGAAGGAGGTAGAGACGATGGCGCCATAGAGAGGCATTGCTAGGCCGCCATTACAGGCGGATGTTGTCATTCCGACATGACACTAGACAACGGAAGTTGTCTGCTATTAGAGAATGTAATTGCTAGGCGTGACATTATAGTTCCAGTGTTACTCAACAAATTGCATGTTGCTCGGCCATGAAGTGACACCAGAGGGCGTGTTGGAACGATGACCGTGCAGATAGTTCCTGAGCAAACCATCAGAGGGTGATGTAGATCAGCGTTTACATTTAATTACATATAAATCTATTATTTGTATTTTATATAAAAAAGACTGATTTTCAGTGATAGCATCTATAAATACCATGCAATAATTTAACATACAATCTTACTGTATCATTAGTTTGACTTTATGGATCAAATATATTCTTATCCTATTTCTCTATTTTGTAACTTTGTAGTTTTTGTATTTTGTAGTTTATGTAACTATGATTTTATTCTGTATAACAGTAAATATTTCCTTTTATTCATGTTGACAGTTACTTTATAATTTTCACTTACATGTGTCTTACAAAGGCTGACAGTGCTTCTATAGGCAGATAAAATGCATACAAATTTCAAATTATCTCAACTTATGTTTCTAGTTTTCATTTATATATTAAATTGTATCACAAAGGATTCACAAAGGCGGACAGTGTTTATATAGGCAAATGGTCTTACTAAAGATATTACTGCTAAATGTTTAGCTTTGCCTTTTATCATAAATTACACACCATGAATATTAGTTTCTAACATTAATTACAAGTCTCCATTTATTTCATATATATAACTGATGCTTCATCATAGCTCAATATACTATCATTAATATATGTAAGTAAAATCACACATTTAGAAAGTGTCACATATACTGAAACATTTATTAACAAAACTTCAATAACGAAACATTTGTTATCAAAACTTCAAAACATACTAATATACTATTTACAAAAACATCTTAGTTTATATAATACCTACCTACAACCCAATGTAATAATACCCGAGACTAAGTTAGACATGTATGAATTAATATTTTATAAACTCAAATGCTTGTATTTTCCGTAAATAGTATATTAAGGTATCTTGATGTTTTGCTAACAAATGTTTTAATATGTTTGTTAAGTATATTATTTTACTTTTATATATACTAATGATAGTATGTGATGAAACACGAGTTTTATATACAAATATTAATGGAGACTTGTATTAGTTGTACAAACATACTTGTTAGAATCTAATACTCATGATGTGTAATTTATCATAGAAGACTAGGCTAGAGACAATTTTCTGGCATTTGATTTTTAGTCTGAACAGACCGAATTAACATTGTGAGATGAATGTAAGTTATATTTTTTAAGTGACTCATTCTGAACTTTTGACCAATTGATGTATGCTGAGCACATTTTACTCTTATTGAGTAGTAAGTATAAAATGTTTTTGCTGTAAAGTATGATGAACTCAATGAAATACAATAATTATACACTAGCGTTTTTGTTTATAAACTAAGTTATTCATGTTATTGATTACCTAATATGTTTAATTGTTACAGTGTAACATAATTTCTGGTTTGACAAGAAATATATATACATTTGAATGTGCCATGGCTTTAGTCTTGTACATATCATCACAGACTAGTACTATATATATATATGTGTGTGTGTGTGTGTGTGTGTGTGTGTTTACAAAACTTTCTATTTCCAGACATTTACTTTCAAAACTATTGACCTTTTAAGAGTTTCTGTATTGTGATAACCCCTTAGACTGTCAGCAGTCTTAAATCTTGGTGATCATGTGACGATTGCCTAGACCTTCTGTCTTGACCCTAATGTCCATTGCAGAAGCAAGGTAGTTTATATCTGCACTGATATCTTTTAAAAGAAATCATTCAGCATTTTGCCTAATCCATCAAGAAACAAGAAAGGTAAGATTACAATTTTCTATCAATGGTTAAACATAGTTATTTACATGGATGTTTTATACTTTAGTGGAACAAGCCAATTTATAAAGCTAAACAAGAGATTTGAATAAGCATCCTTTTCAAGGTTTTTTGAGATAGATGTTATATTTACTTGTTATGTAAATTAATTAGCAATCATTAGCAAAATAAAGTCAGAAAATGTAAAAAGTATGTCATGCAAGTTATTGGCTATAATATTCCTCTCTGTAATTGGTGGTTACTATGTGCAGTAAAAATTGATGATACACTGTTTTATAATAACTGTCTCCATAAAATAATGGTTCTACTTATAACTTTGAGGATATATAATTAAATCTAGACATTGATGATGTAATCACATGTTGAGATGCCTTTCAATGAGCTCATCATCCTATTTAACTATCCATTTATAGAAATCTCACCAGCCATAGTAGAACTATTCTTAGTAAGACCATGTATGAACAGAAACAATGTCCGCTTTTGTGAAACTCATGTAATACGATACGTGAAGATTAGAAAAATAATTTGAAACAAGATGAAATCCGTATGCACTTCTATCTGCCCATAGAAGCATTGTCAACTTTTGTACATATGTAAGTGAAAACTATAAAATAACTGTCAACATGTTTAAAAGGAAATATTTCGTCAAGAACTTATTTACTGTTATATACAATAAAAATTACGAAAATTCATTTTGTTCATATAAAATACAAATAATAGTTTTATGTGTCATTAAATACAGACGTTGATAACATGTTGAGTCATGTTGATCTATATCACACTTTAATGGTTTGTTCATGTTCTTTTATTTGCACGTTCATCAACACGCCCTTGTACCAATTCGTGGCCTAGCAACACACAATCTGTTGACTAACTCTCGAACTATGATGTCACGCCAAACATTGCATTCTCTGAAACAGAAAAATGTTGTTCTTAAGTGTCATGGCGGCATGACAACATTCGCCTTTCATGGCGACCTATCAATGTGCCCTAGCAATGCACTCTCTAGTTCCACTTTGTGAAACTATGACTCCATTGTCTCTGCCCCCCTCAAGGCAACTGTTCAGCGCGCGGTCTGAACAGACCAGATAACTACTCATACAGAGGTTCAGTCATACACTTTGTACATATTGCATACAGTATGTTACCAAAAACATAGTTCCGGTTAGTCATGGGCCCGTTCCTGTGGTGTGCTGTTTTATAAGAGTTGGTAACTGCGAGAGAGAGAACCGGTTGAAGTAATGAAGCCCAAGGACTTTCAAAGATAAATGGTTATTTAATGTCAAAATGGTGGTAAGGGCGTCCGAGACAGATCAAGCCGTATACTCATACTTAGACCCACAGTGGATAATATGCTAGTGAAATGGAAAGCCACTGGGAGTGCTAATACGCAATGTGGAATAATCATCCAAAATTAATTCCTTCTCGGTATATGTTAAATGTGGGATGAAATAAAAATGTACGAGTAACAGGTAAGGGAGCAATCAATGTTTTGTCATTATAAACAATCCTGCATGGTAACGCCCCTATCATACTACAGATCACAGCGGTAATATGATGGAAATTGTATCCAAAATGTGTTCCCCCTTCCACAGAGTTCTGAAATGAATCAGTTAATCAGATAAGAAACATTTTGAAACACTATCTGAGGAATACAAAGGACACACCTTATACTTTCACTATACTTGGTGTTTATTCCGTGAGATGTCTACTATTTTCTTTTTATAACACGTGTTAATAACAATAGCAGAGCTGTAGGTGGCACAAAAGGTTGCGTATTTCGTATTAAAATGTTGATCCAGCGGTATCCACTTCTCAAAGAAAGTGTGCTACCTTAGTAAATTTCCACTTTTAATACTATAGTATACAAATGTGTAATTAGTATACGAGAATTATTTCAAGTAAATATTTCTTACTGGGTTTTAATAGCATAAAAAATACACATTTGATAAAAATATACTTATCTTTGTTGTTTGTTATTAAGCACAAAGCTACGCAAAGGGCTATCTGTGCTCTGCCCATCACGATATCGAAACCAGGTTTCTAGCGGTATAAGTCCCTAGACATACCACTGTGCCACTGGGGGGCAAATATATTTATACAGGATGAGATAAAAAATGACAGGAACATTTTTACTTGTTCTGTGAACAGTTCATTTAAATTTGTTGAAAATTACAGACAGCCACGACGCAAAGTACATATTACAAACGTCTCTCTGTTGAGCTTAAATTATAATCGAAATACTAATGCTATTTCATGATACTAGCTTAACATCAATTTATCACACAAATGAAGTTAATTCGAATGGTTCAAAATAGCAACATCTAATTGAGATAACTAGTATCTTCACTTCAATGTTTCATAGCTCCAGGCCAAGCTGTCATTAATCTTTTATTACAATGACGTTAATTTCCCCCGTTTATAATTCAAAGTTTCTGTGATACGTTGAGTAATGTTTAACACAATTGTAACTTAATTTCTTTATTATTTGGTAAAATTTGATTTAAAACTATTCTAAGTATGTAAATAAAGTCCTCATTTTTCATAGCTGTACCTTTACTGTCAAAACCTATAAAATGAATAGCAGTGACTATATTCAGGTTCAACAACAACAACAAAAAACTTTACTTTTCAATGTAAAAAAGCACTTTTTGCATCGTTTTTAACGTTACAATAATAACGCATTTTACTCCATCAAAAAACAGAAAATATTCATTAACAAAATCAAGATATAAAAATCAAATATGCTTTAGACTTTAATTGTGCAATTTGTTCTAGTATCCTCCTTCTCGCCAATCACACAAAGTCAACTTCTAATTGAGTAATCCTTACATTAAAAAACCAATCTTCAGTGATATTGACTGATCTCAATAAGAGAAAGAAAATTGTTGACTAGGTCAATGTAAAATTATCTAACTGAATGTTGTTTCATATTCATAAAATAAAACAGTTGTGTACAAAATAATTGGTCTCTTTGCTCTTCCAACCATAAAATTGATGAGCAAGAGGGATAATCTAAACGTTTGTACTTGAAAAAACAACAAAAAACTCAGGGTTATTCTATGAGCTGCTATGCCACGGCTAAAAATCTATAGAGGTACTCTCTACGATATTTCACGTTATTATACCATTGTTTGTGGAAAGTCAGATATCTTAAAATGTTTATGAAATAAGAAAGCCCACATTTTCTATCCGAATCTGTCACCTCGTGGATCAGCGATAAGTTTACAGACTTAAAACGCAAGTTAGATTCCCCACGATGGACAGAAGACAGATATCCCACTGTGCGTTAAAAACAACAACTATCTGAAGCTCTCATACTTATAATAAACGTCAAGTATGTACAATCATTTCATTGCGTAATCACTTCAAACTAAAACCTGTCTCATCTATACGTAACAAACACATAATCAAGATTATAATGGTATGGTCAGCGATTAACACATTTTTCTACTAATATATCGATTAAGCAAAATCGGATGAACTTTCTTTGAACAGCAAGACAACATCGCTTTCTATTGAAACAAATGTTTTATAAGAATGAGTTAATTAGGCTGTAGTGTCTGTTTGGATGCCTTGAGTACCAGATTGAGAAAACAGTCAATTGAAACATAAGCTTGGGATTAGTAAATGTTGCTGTTTATCTCTCTCCCTGCAGCCAGGCTGTAACAATTAATCCAATTAGAGTTGGTATTTACTATATCAATACCTGGTGCATATAGAGTGTTTGACGTAAATATGTTATCTCATCTAACTGTAGCAACAGCTGTCTATGCAAACTTCTCTCAAGTATCAATATGCAGTCCGCTGGCTGAGCGGTAAGGCTGTGGGCCTATAATGCTAAAAATAGGGCTTTGACACCCGCGGCGGGTAAAACACAGGTAGTTCATTGAATAGCTTTACATTTAACAACAAACAAACAACAGCAACAATAAGCGACTAGATGCAATTGAATACATTTATAAATAAAGGTTAACTGGCTTAACATCACTGATAACAAGAACACAAAAGGTAGAAAAATTAGACTCTAACGCTTTATTAGAATGTGTTTTTCAGCCTGAATTCCAGTTCGTGACACCTTTATGATAAAGGCCACGCACAGAATGCCTGAAACTAATGATAGGCTAATAACGGCCAAATTCCAACAAATACTTATTATCTGCGTGTGTGTGTGTATGCTTGTAACAGACTATTTTACAAAAACATGTTATTAACGTATGTCAATGCTAAGAATGAAACATGAGTTGTATTTATTAATAACTGTGGCAGGACGGTATACACAAATATCAAATTATTTACATGTATACCATTATATTTTACTGTCAATCTTAATGCTTGTAACTAAGCCTTCTCAAAGTGCCCTTTGACATATGTATACATCACCATTGTGACCAACCTTCTATTAGTTGTTACATATTAGGAAAAATTTACCTATTTTATTCTAAGTCGCCTCTTTTTGATTTTGAAACATTTAAATCCGAAATAAATTAAACGGCGAAGTCCGTGTTATATTAGTGTATTGTTTTTTTCTGTATTGTGAGAGGCAATAATTTTGTATTAACACTGACTTTTTGATATGATAATCCATTCTTAAAATAAGCATAAGGAGTGTTTATTAAGTCTCTTTTTTCATATGAATATAGTTTTGACTATCTTATCTTTTTCTGTTCTAATTTACTATGTTATGCTATATGTATCTATAAGAAGCATTGGTTACCAATACTTAAATTTATTTGAAAAGCTTGTTCTTTCTACTCAGAAAAAAACTTCCATGATAGTGGAAAAGTTCAAACTCTGACTTTATATATTTCTGCAATATTTGTACTATTAAATATTGTTAAGGTCACAAACATAGAGCTTAGTAAGAACAGTATATTTTAGTTTTCTAAGTTTAATCTTAAGTAAGCGGGCTAATTCCTATATTTCCGGCTCATTCGCTTAATATTACAAACAGTGACATATTAGTTGCCGTCAAGCGCGAACTATTCCCAGTGTTTTGTAAATCCTAATAACAAATGTATTGTGTAATAATAATATCATCAACTTTCCAGCACCCAGGATTTGAGCCACTTCTAAACGACAGTGAATTTCATTACGTTTAGATATATGTGAACACTTCGCCTCTTTATGAGGAAATGAATTTTCTCCTTTGATGAACAGGAATATGAAAGCAGTCTTTTGTTTTCTACGCTCATTATTTCTAACACCTCAACTTTCCAGGCTTCTTTTAATGATAACTCAATAATGTTTGATAGACTATTCTTTTTAACTCCCCTTCTTCAACATAACACGCACTGTATAAAAGGACTCTTGAGAAGTCGTCGTTGAAAACAAAACCATTCAATTAATAGTCTGCCCAAATTACCGGATATATATATCCGGCCGACAGTTTCTTAATTGACAGCCTTTATCCCGACATAGTAAAAGTTTTTAGTTCTAACCAGCTTTCATCAGTAGCATCCGTTGATGATAATAAAAATGGCTTCTTGGGTGTTTTTTTATAGAGAGAAAGAGAGAGAAAATGTGGAAATTTCGTACTTAATTGAAAAACATTATGGTTTCTTTTTCTATTTTGGAATACAATTTTTATTTAATAGCCATGAAAACGCTTTTAATTTTTAATATATTAACAGTTTTTCAAATATTATATAAGGCGATTATATAGAAAGTAAGTTTCACCAGGGCAATATTGAGAATCATAAATTGTAGTAAAGTAAGCTTGGATATGATACAGTATGTTTCAAATACTGACAGACAGCATATCAACAGAGTTACCACAAGCATCATCTGATCTGGACAGTATTCATTGATCATCGCAATACACCACGAACTAAAATGCATTTTATTCCAATGAACAATCTTATATTGTTGAAAGAAAGAGGGAGAGAAAGAAAACAAATAAAAATAATGCTGTAGTTTAATTACGTTTCGAAACTCCTTGTACTGTATCCACACTTTCCTTTATAGTTCTCAATGTGCCTTGATAAAACTGTGTTACTCTAATATGCCTGTGATAAAACTGTGTTACTCTAGATTAAATATTTCTTACGATTTTAAGTATGGGCTTTTTTGTTACCACGAGCTTTACATCATACAAAAAATAGACATATTTTGTTGTTGTTGTTGAACAAATATACGTTTAATACAGAACACACCGTAGATACGAATGTTGCCTTCTGTGGAACCTAAGGAATTTCTGGCGTGGCACTTATAAGTTCCAAAATCATCTGGCTGAATATTCAAGATAATGAGTTTCATGTGAACTTTGTACGTTTTGTGTTCGTCTTTGACACGGTATTTGTGGTCACTCACTATCATGTCTCCTCTTTCAGTCTGCCAGTAGTTGATTGACGACGGATACGCTTCAGTATGACACTCCAGTGTGACGTCATTTTCGATGGGAGAACCAATTAGTTGATTTGGAACCCATATCATAGGTGTAACTGTATAAATAATAATAACATATATACAAACATTTTATAAATAAACATATTTAGATGCAAAAAAAATCATTTGTAAATTATGTTTTCATAAATATAATAATATTCATCGCTAACAGTGATCATACAAGTTATTGAAACAAAATATAATATCCCAAAAACTGAAAGAAGCAACAGGATGTTAATATTCAAGAAGCTATGATATAGATGACGAAAAACCAATAATAAACTTTAAGATTATATTTTCTATATTAATCGTAAAGCGTAGTTTGATGAAATTATGCTTATATATTAATATTATCTATATGTTAGATATATATAGCTGCCTGGGTACAAAATGAAAAGGCTTGTTTCATTGAAAAACTTATCACGATAATTGGAAATTCTCAAAAATAATCTATCAATACTATCAGTGGTTTTCATTTAAATCCTATCTTCTGTATTTATTGAGCTGTTATATTTTTTCACTATAATATGGGTATCCAGATTTCAACACAAACCATAAAGCATTTACTTATAATCCACATAGTTTTCAGCAAAGATAAAATATGTATTTACTGTATAATCTAATGACACTAATTATGGGAACTAGTAATACAGAGGTTGTGTACGTTATATTAAAATACTTTTGGAGCCTCAACACTTCCTTACAGTCCACGTATCCGCGTTCTATCATATTCCATCTGACGACCGTATTGTTGACAACAGCTTTGCAACGTAATTTCCATTGCAAAAAACTCCAAAGCACACCAATCCTTCCTTACTGCTCTCCATAAGCTATTTAGTGTACAAGGGCGACGGTTTCTCAGCGCCTGTTTTATCAGTCTGATCACCACATTCTTTTCTTTTACAGTACAATTATAGTATACATCTCCGTCTTGAAAATTTTAATCTCTGATCTGAACACATCTTCATGATCCGAGTGTATGAACTTTTTGTTTCGAAAGGGGCTGTTACATGTCTTTTCCTAAAGCAATCAATTTTCGGTGCTATCACCCCACCTACGCTATATTAAACAATGTCAAAATGTAGTTCTGATATATGTCGTCCCCCACGACATTACATCGACTGTGGTTGTCATATGATTTGTTGATGTGTATATTCAATTTGTTTTAATATAACGTACCCTACCCTTTGTATACTACATGGTGTAGAATCAAAAATAGATTACGCCAAAAAGAAAAAACTGTTTGTAGGTAATTTATTCATAAGATAAAAGAGAAAATACCTTCTTTCTTTGTTCTTTGTGTGGGTATAACTGTTGTCAAATGTGGCGTTTTATACGTTTATAACAGTTAATAAGTTTCAAACAAATGATCAAAATCAATCGTTTAATAATAATATTTCTTATTTTATGAATGTACTTGATAAAATTAGTTTTTGTCATAGTTTTAAAACTGTAATAATATAACGGCGGTTATAAGGCGTGTGCAGCACTAATAAGAGCTACCACTATAGTCAAACGTTGTCAGTTAAATTATTTACTTCATTATTTGAAATAACTTAAAACTGATGCTTTTCTCAAGCATGTGTAAGTATAGGAAATAAATGTTAATTTAAAATAACATAATAATCATTATTCTTACAGTGTACGTGTAGAACAACTCGTCGACTTATTGAAGGTTGTACTCCATTGGACGCGATACACAGATAGGCACCCATGTGCAGTCTGCTAACTTTAGTCACTTTCAGAAGTTCTCCTTTATATGAGATGTCTAAGGATATGAAAACCGTAAATAAATTCTATGTTTCATCGAAATACAACCAAGGATCTTATAACAAAATACCAGTGCCACAACTTACTGGATGACAGTGTTTCATATATTTCACTCTGATGAAAAGATGGATATAAACATGAATGTGTTCCGTCATAAAAAAAAAAATAAACACACATATTGAAATCTTTTATTCTTTAAAAGATATGATTTATGATACAAAACCTAAATTTCTTGCTATTATCTTATGAAATGAATATGATCGGATGCTTGAAGAAATATTTTAAATTCAGAGCATCGGCTAAAACACTTCATCGACAGCGCCATGACTTTTGATGTATTGAACCAAGTTATAGAAAAAACATCTAGAGAAAGAAGCACAAGATAATTATTATTATTATTATTACAACAGAATGTTAACAGTAATGAACATTCAGTTGCCTCAAATAAGGATATAATAAATATGGAGGTTTTTTAACTACTAACAGAATAGTAGTGTAAAATAAATGTATTCTCATTACTAACAAAGAGATAATGAAAGACGAAGATTTTGTTGTTGCAAGCAGAGGAATATTAAGGTCCAAAAATTGAGTTACAACAGACAGGTATATGAAAAATACAAATATGTATACCTAAATATAAATACACATAAACAAGACAAAAAAAACGAGTTAATTATTACTCGCAGAAAAAAATATATACTTAGAGGGGCGTTTATTTGCTATATAAATAAATACACTGTTTACTTCTTACTGGTAGAAAAATAACAAAAAAGGAAATTTAGCTACTACGCAAAAGTGCACTTAAAATATATTGATCAGCCATTACGGGAAGGAACTTAAGAAAACCACTTGTGCAATTACTCCAGTTAGTCTATAAGTAAATATCAATGTAAACAGAGGAAGAGATTACACTAATGTTAATCACTATAAACACACAAAAAATGAATCCGAGACATTGATATTAGTATTAATAATACGGATAGGCATTTAGTAATTATAACACGAATAAAAAAAAAGATGAGGGGTTAGATTTTATTGTTAAAACCGTGTAGAAAATGAAAATTTTTGGTACTACAAATGTAGGAATAATATATGAAAGTTTATATTTAAAATAAAGAAAAGTACAAAAAACTTTTCATTATTAGAAACAGGGAGAAGTAAAAACGGTAATTCAGGAATGATTAACAGGCAGGATTACAGATGACTTTTTATTTCATTTGAACAGAATAATAATACAATTTTAAGAATCACAAATAAAGGAATAATAAACAGATGCGGGATAATTTAAGAATAATATCGGGTTACGGAATGGAGAAGATATCAAAAAAAGACGAAAAATCATACACAAAGGATTAATAAAGACAATAGCAGGGTTACAAGAGCAAGATAGATAATATAAAAAATACTTAGCTAAGACAAGTTTGTGATTAATAAAAATATATGTTTAGTACAGAAAGGGTTATGATGGAAGATCCAGTACCATAAACAAAGAAAAGAAATGCGAAGGCTTCGTTATTTCAATAAGAAGTAGAAAAGATAATAGTTCAGTCACTAATAACAGAAGAAAAAATAAATACAAGTGTTCTTCCCTGTTGCTAAATAGATAGTGAAGATAATAGTTTAGTTACTAATAACAGAAGAGAAGGTAAATACAAATGTTCTTCCCTGTTGCTAAATAAATGGTGAGGATAATAGTTTAGTTACTAATAACAGAAGAAAAGGTAAATACAAATGTTCTTCCCTGTTGCTAAATAGATAGTGAAGATAATAGTTTAGTTACTAATAACAGAAAAAACTTTAAATACAAATGTTCTTCCCTGTTGCTAAATAAATAGTGAAGATATTAGTTTAGTTACTAATAACAGAAGAAAAGGTAAATACAAATGTTCTTCCCTGTTGCTAAATAAATAGTGAAGATAATAGTTTAGTTACTAATAACAGAAGAAAAGGTAAATACAAATGTTCTTCCCTGTTGCTAAATAAATAGTGAAGATAATAGTTCAGTTACTAATAACAGAGAAAAGGTAAATACAACTGTTCTTCCCTGTTGCTAAATAAATAGTGAAGATAATAGTTCAGTTACTAATAACAGAAGAAAAGGTAAATAGAAATGTTCTTCCCTGTTGCTAAATAAATAGTGAAGATAATAATTTAGTTACTAATAACAGAAGAAAAGGTAAATACAAATGTTCTTCCCTGTTACTAAATAAATAGTGAAGATAATAGTTCAGTTACTTATAACAGAAGAAAAGGTAAATACAAATGTTCTTCCCTGTTGCTAAAGAAAGAGATGGCAATATACTTATTACAAGTAATAATAAATACAAAAAAAGTTTATTATAAGTAGAGTGACAATAAGAAAGGACTTCTGACAATAAAAAGAAAACCAGAGGTAAACATTTAACAACCTACAAACAATAGAAAAAAATTAAGGTGAAAATTTAGTAATCACAAGAACTCATAAATAAAGTGAAAAATATAAATATAGTTTATTGCATCGAGTAAATGATAAAAAGCGATGTGTTTTAATAGAGGCAGTAGAAATATAAATGAAAGTTAAATTTTTATATAAAAAAGAATTAACAAATAGAATATTTATTTAGTACATTCAGATAATATAGATTACAGTAAACTTGATAAATACATAAAAAAAGAAATTATAAACGTTTTTGTAGAGGTAAAATTCATAAAGATAACCAATAGTTACTACCATCAGAAATCTAATAAGAATTAAAGTTGGTTTACTACAAACAGATGAATATTAAAAAATAAGTTTCATTTATAACAGGCTAGAGTAGTAGAGATGAAAATTTAGTATCCATGGAGCAATACTTAGTGAAAATTAAAGTGTGTAAATGAAAGTAAAATTTACTACAGGTAGGTGAATGATAACAATAATAAAGTGCAGTTAGCACAAATAAAAGAGAAGCAAAGATTAATATTTTATGATTCTAATCATAGGAATTATTTAGATGAACGTTTAGTTACAAAAGATATAGAACTAAAGACATATGCTCCATAACTATAGAGTATAAACAAGTTGAATATACAGATTATACAGTTATAATAATAACAAAAAAATATTCGTAGGTAGACTCCAGCTCATAAGTTCTGTTGTTATTTTTTACCTTTTGACTTTCAACAAAATGTTTTTGAGAAGCAGAAAAACTAAGTATGAATTTACCGACGTTAATAGTTTTATATTTCAATGGAGGAAACACAAAAGTGACATAGCTCCAAATTGCATCCGAGTCATTACTATACAGTTCTATAAAAAAGTATAGTCTTTTCTATTTTTATTATTGAATTTGCTTATTTCACAATGTAAAAGATCTTTATATTTTTATAAACTAGATTGCCAGTAAAAGTTGCAAGTATTTAAAGCTAAGATGAACACAGTATAATCGAAAAAGGAAACTGTATTAATAAGAAACGATGGCTTACTCGTTTGAAAAAATCTAAATAGTTCGTCAGAGAAAAACAAAATCTGTAGCATATAAACATCAACGTGCAGTGCTTGAAATAATGTTGAATAATTAACTTTTCAACTAGCTTTGCGAAATGCAGACAGATTTTGTGTGTGTGTGTATATATACAAAACGTGCACCCTTCTATCGACCAATGATGTTTATGAGCTGAAACTTGATTTTTTTTTCATAACTGTAAACATTACGTAGCTAGAAAGTTCTCGTGCAAAATAAATTAACTTATAAACTAAGTCTCAGAACGGTTCAGACTGAAATATAGGTTTGATTTTAATTACAGTACAAGTTATCTAGATACTTTCTAGGGAAAATGGCTTCGTCTACATTTACTACATTGTTGTAGTTCATGTAAACTTCCTTTAAAACAGCTGATCCATTCTCTTCGAGATCAAGCCTTTGATTATCGAAACCCGATTCTTGAGATGATTAATGTATTCCTAAGGTTTCACTGTAACGATTTGTTCACAAGTATAAGAAAAGTAAGCTAAAACCACTGTTCGACTTTTATACAGCTTCGCGATGAAGAGGTTCTCTGGCAGTTCGAAACGACTTCTCTAAACTATAGTAAATGGATTTACACTATTTACAATTAATAATTACACACAAACTAAACAAGTGTGTAAACTATGAACACATTTTAATTCTATTCCTAAAGAAATATATATGTTCATCTTTATGCACTCTGAATGCATCTGCAAACAATAAATAAAATACCCAAACACATTCTTATAGAAAATCCTAAAGAAATAGTTTCATTATACTCTGATCAACCATAACCCGACCTTTACTTTAGTTTCCATTAAAATATCACCGTGGTTGTTTCGTTCTTCTTCCCTTTATTGAGTATGATATGTTCACCACATTTTCCCTGGTTTTGCTGAAACTAATCATAATAAAACATTTTTGAACTGTTGCGTACTTGGTACTCCTTATAAAGATTACAGTGGAATATCAAACAAGCAGGATTTTTCCTTTATTAAATATTTATTATTCGTGGGTTTAAAACTAATGTACTGGTATTTACTGACCATGATGTAAAGCACATGATTCAGAAGAAACAAATTGTATAAAAAACATAGCTTCAAAGAAAAATATTTACATCTTTCCACAAACCTTTAGCTGTTGAAATTCCATTTTAAGATCCTACTTTACGTATTCTAACAACTTTCCTAAAGCTAATGTGGGCAGAACACCTCGTACCTTATTTTCAAAGTTATCGTGTTTGTGATTAAATTACTAAAGAAAGACTAGAAACTGTTTAAGTTGTTATTTAGGAACACTGGCAGCATATGTAACACCAGTTTAATATAAAACACCATTCGTATTCCCATGTTTTTAGCATAACTGAAATACTCCAAGCAGCATTTAAGCTAATTCATCCAAAATACTTACCCAAAAAATAACACTATCAATAAGCATCCAAGTTTCCCTCTTTGTAAAATAGTTCCAACCTTTAACAATGTTACTGAGCAAGTTGTTTTTGTCTACTCTTCCAAGACATTTTAATTTATTCATTTCTTGTCTAATAATTCATATTATGTTTGACGAACTTAACCATTTCGAATCCTGTGTGTAGGACGTTTTATGGCTGCAACTGAATTGCGAGTAGCTTATTGTGCCTTAGCAATAAAACATAGTAGTTGTTCAGCCATTGAGTTATTTATGTAATGAAATATGTTTCTTGGGTAACGACAGTATCTTACCTTTCGTTTCAACAATGATATATTTCAAACACACTGAAAGGTATATTTATGGTACAGAAATATTTTAATGAACTTTTTCGAATAGTTATATCACTAGTTCTATGGGAAACAGAAAAGTATATACAAGTATTTCAATTTTCATTTTGAGATTTGTACTACACTTATTTACTGAATATTTTGCAAAAATGTAACTAACATGAATTGTAACATCTTTACACGTGCTGACTATTTTTGCACATTAAAAACTGTGTGAACTAAATATTTTCTTACCTTGATCAAGGTCATTTTGCCAAAGACCTACAGATATAGGCTGACCATCTTCTCTCTTCCACGTAATCTCGGGAACTGGATAGCCTTTAGCGCGACATTTCATTGTGACGTTTGAGCCTTCACGTGCCAAAACGTCAGTATCACTCTCGGCGTCAATAATTACCGGGGGTACTGAAGGAAGAAAATGAATAGACTGAATAAGTTGGACAGGATGTGACATCGTCGACAAGGACAAAATGCTGCGCTGAATAAGCAAGAAGACTCAGATGCAATCACTCCAGGACTAAGATGATCGTTAGGCTTGGGACATCATTAAGGCAGGACCTGAAGGAAAGTCTTAAGATTCTTGATTTTCTTTAACCTCGTTCTTAGTACCAACTTTCCTTAAAATGCTGCTACAACATCGCACAGATTGTTCATTATATCTATCCAATCTTTGAAGCAAACACCCATTTAAATTTTTCTCGAAAGTCCTCCAATTCAAATGGAATAAAATCGTTGAAAATAAGATTTTTTTCTGGAAAAGTTTAGAAGTCCCCTTCTTTTATCAGAGATATCTGCTTATATAATCCCAATATTTATTTTTACCAGAGGAATCAGCAAACGCATTGTTCTAGGCTTATGCTTAACGAGAAGCACTAACAAAAAAAAAAAGCTATGTGAAACTAGCACGAACCAAAAAATAAAATCACCTTGGATTTCAAACGAGAATCATCTCATAAGAAGGTTTCGTGTTTTTGTTTGTTTGTTTGGTGTGGTGGGGGAATAGATTGTTCGTCCTGACACGTCTGTAAAATACCAAGTACACAAACAAGGTTAACATGAGAAACACAATTGGAGTTTCTATGTAGATATTTGTATTTCAAAGTAAATAAGAATTAGAAAAGCATTATAGCAGGAGTATAGAGATTGTTCTCGTTTTGGCCCCAAGTTATTATAAAACAACACTGAAAATTTATGATAAAACCATCATTACTGTATACGCATGGTTTTTGTAAGGAAAAGTATTTCTAGTTCAACTAAAAAAATGCTTACTTCCACCAAACTTACATATTTTAATTTTACAAATAATTTTATTTTTTAAAACCTACATTTTACACATAAAACCGTACTTGTAAGAGTCTTGAAAGCGCAGAATTGTAGCTGTAGGTAAATATTAATGTAAAGAGATGAACAGTGCAACAAATATTACTTTCATTCCAGGTTTTCCCGAAGTTTTCTACTAAAGTTTTAATATAAAAAAAGAACAGGTTTCATATCTTAAAGAGAGTCCGTCTATCATCCTAGTTAAAGAATTTATATCAGCATGAAAGTATTGCAGTACGAAAATATTTGAGTCTCCGCTAATACATCACCATCGTGCATGACTACAGATATATCACACAAGACAGCTCAGTAAGGTACGTTCGCCATTCGATTTTCAGGTGAATGCTTAAAGGTATAGCAGAACTTAATGGCTTGGACTTCTAAACGACGTAAAACGTCACCAGAGAGTATGAAAGTCTTTCTACGGCTCTCAAAACTCTCTCTTTTTATTGTAATTTATTTCTAGAATAAGAATTACGTTCGTAGGTTATTGGGTACTCCTATTGTGGACGTTGGATAGTTTAGAAAATATTGTCCTTTACTTTTCTTCTCGAAAGAAAGAGACACAGTAAATATTTCTTCAGTCGAGTTTTCTAAAGAAATAAGGAATTCCATTATTGGCGAATTGAAGAGAATTTTTTAACAAATGTTGAAACATTATGTTTGACGCCTTAACCATTTGATGGGTTTTGATATATCTATATATAGATAAATAAAAACCAAACTAATCATATATATTTTTCTGAAACAAAATCAATCTATAGGTTGTGATGCATAATAGATCTTTATTTCAAAATTTCTCGAGATCAGATATAATAATTTAGTAAACAGAACGTTTAAAATACATTTCTCATTGGTTAAATTACCTTCGTCACAAACACTTAGGAGGTAATTTTGTCTAGTAACCACTAACTGTAAGTGCGGATTTCCAATTTAATAATTTTCATTTCACTAACAACTTATTGGGTCGATATGGGTAGTAGCCAACTTAATCGATAAATAATTAGCTTATGCACTATGCTTTGATAGTTTCAGGTCATTTATTCTTTTATCTGAAACAAACTTGTGTATGGTTCTGGCTAATAAAAAATTTTCATTCAAGTTGTTAGTGCATTTATACAACATACAATTTAACAATGCATTCATTTTGGTTAACAACGTCTATCTGGCTTATCGTTCCGTGGTTTCAACATGGTGCTAGCTTATAGAGAGTCATATAAAGCCTTATTATCTAATTTTATTCACTAAGTAGCTGGTATAACAACTAAACCTGACTTGATTTCAACGCGCATGCCAACAACGTTTAATCAACAAAGAGAACCATAAAAGCTTTATTAATACTTAACTGACTACTTCTGTCCTGTAACTTACCAAGAACGCTTAACTACCCAACTTGTCAATTCACAGTGCCAATTATGTATTAGATGTACTTCCGCAGGGTACCTGCAAGTGTTCTGTTTAAAGAGTAAATAAATCCAAAATTAACAGTAACAAATATTTTTTATTTCCTATAAGTTCATATCTCACGCTGTGTTGTAGCCTACAGAGTGCATAATTCTTCTCGTGATTCATGACATGCGCACGTTTTACTGACGTCACGACAGTACAAATTGCAACGTTAAGCATCCCTTATGTGACGTCATTTTAGTGTCTACTGATTGACTGACAGACAACACACTACTGTAAAGTGTTGCGAGTGCTTAAAACAGGTGATCCTCCAGGTGGCTTTCGGGAAAATTAGTCAGTAATGAGAAATATAATGAGTTATTAACACTTTACTGCTAATGCTGATCAGGAACTTACTAATAACATCTAGATATCCTGTTTCATTGTTATTACAACGTTTTAATCAATAAAAAGAGCTGATAGCTTCAATAATACTATATTAATTAATATTGTTCAATAACTTACTAATACACGGTGTGACGATCACAGTGCCACCAATTTTTTAATCAGTACAAAGAAGTAGAAAGCTTTATTAACACTTTATTGAATAAAGCTGATTAGTAATTTACCTATAACGTCTAGTTACTCAACTTGGTGATTCACAGTGCCAACAAAGTTTTAATCAGAATAGAAAATTAGAAAATCTTACTAACTGTTACTTTACTGACTAATGCTGATCAGTAACTTACCAACAACGTCTAGATACCCTACTTGGCTTTTCATGGGAAACGTGTTTATCTGACACATGTACCCTCCCCTATCGGATTCCTGAACGTTCTTGATGTGAAGAATCCAATTTCTTCGGTCTCCATGACTCAGATCTATTCTGTAATTTCCGGTTATGACGTTATGACGGATAGTCAGGATGGTTTTACTTTCAACTCTCAACCAGGCTACCTGAATGGCAAAAAAGTTTTCAACTCTTAATCAGGCTATAGCGGAATATTTGGTACAAGAGAAAAATATTTCAGCTTTCAACGAGGCTATACTTGAACGACCCAAGAAATAAATTAACAAACTTAACACTGAACTTAAATGATGCAAGTAAAAAGGTTTCAGCTCTTAACCAGGCTACCTGAATAATAAATAAACGTTTGTTTTCGATTTTTATCTTCAATTTAGAATTTAAGCAGTCTTAATTTTAGTCGCTCATTTTCGTTTTTCTCTGTGTTTATGACTTTTCCTGGACACCCTATTAACTTAGTATATCTAAACGAGCTTAATCCACTAATCAGAACAAAACTCATTTACAAGGCTCACATTTTTTTATATTTGTGTAAATGTTTTTTTTTTTTCTGAAACTCAGAAGATTCTTCTGAAAATAAAGAATATTCCATCCATATTGCATTTACCTTTTCATTTCATTTTAGATAACGAAACTTGTTCTTAATGTTTAAAGATATAAACTATAACTGTGATAATTCAGGCAAGAAAGACGTTAATTAATTACTTAATACACTTTTATTTAGAGCATATTCATAAAACAATGTATTTATACTAGAACATTAAAGAATCGCACAAATCGATAAAACTTTTACGCGAACTGTTTGCTTAGTTGTTACTTTTATTTACCAGTTTAAATTGTTATTATAAGGATTACCCTTACAAGTTTATAAAGTAACTTACGTTTCCTCTAAGCTAAAAAGAAATAACTATCTCTCAGACATGAGGGTTTCATTTACAAGATTAAATATGCTAAAACGTATTACTAAACATGAAACATCATTTAGTACGAGATGGGATCGATTAACCAGAACTCCAGTTTTAAGAAATTCTAAGAAACTTATATATCATTGTCTGAGAAAACAAGTGTGTTCGTGAATTCTTTTACTGTAGCTTTAACGAAAACAAAACTATGATAATTCTAAATTTATACAGCATTTAGAGTAATAAGCTACTTCAATGGATTTTAGTATATTTCTGGTGTATTAACAACCTTTTTTTACTAACACACCAAACTGGTGTATTTCTTGTTGTCTTGTAAGGCGTTGTTGAAAGCTTATATATACATTCAATTTCAACCCATAACGAAACAGGTCTATCTCGATTTTTTTCTACGTTAAAAAGTTTGGCTATTATCTCATCTTAATATCGAACCTTAGCTGCTTCATATTACCAATGAAAGATTGAACTTATCTTTTCTCTGATTTTTTTTTAGCCAAAAGTAATAAACTTCTGTTATTGCTCTGTATGAGCGCAGTAAGAATAAGAACTATATAGTTTTTCTCAGTTCTTTCAATTTTATTTTCTCGGTCTCAAACTTCCACGTTTTTCTTCCTGAACCGAGAGACGGACAATTTTGAAAGGTAACTCCAGCTCAGATCCGATTAAATTGGACTACATATTGAAGTTTGTGATGAAGTCGAATAGAAAGAAGCTTTTCCTTAGGCAACAGGTAAAATTGAAGTTTAGAAGTTAAATATAAAATCATAAATAATATTCAACGTTAAACTGGTAAACACTTAAAAACATTTTATTTAGGCCTATCTATGGCCTTCAA